TGGTTTTTAATACTTTAAAGTGGTCTTTTACAGCAGATTTGCCCAGTGCAATACCTGGTTTGATTTCTTGACTGCTGCTTCCATGGGCGTTGACTGTGGATCCAAGTAAAGTGAAATCCTTGACAACTTCAATCTTTTCTCCGTTTATCATGATGTTGCTTATTGGTCCAGTTGTGAGGATTTGTGTTTTCTTTATGTTGAGGTGTAGTCCATAATGAAGGCTGTGGTCTTTGATCTTCATCAGTAAGTGCTTCAAGTCCTCTTCACTTTCAGCAAGCAAGGTTGTGTCATCCACATATCATAGGTTATTAATGAGTCTTCTGCCAATCCTGATGCCGCGTTCTTCTTCATATAGTCCAGCTTCTCAGATTGTTTGCTCAGCATACAGACTGAATAAGTATGGTGAGAGGTTACAACCTGACACACACGCCTTTCTTGACTTTAAACCATGCAGTATCCCCTTGTTCTGTTCTAGCAACTGCCTCTTAGACTATATACAGGTTCCTCATGAGCATAATCAAGTGTTCTGGAATTCCCATTCTTCACAATGTTATCCATAATTTGTTATGATACACACAGTTGAATGCCTTTGCATAGTAAATAAAACACAGGTAATCATCTTTCAGGTATTCTCTGCCTTCAGCCGAGATCCATCAGACATCAGCAATGATATCCCTGGTTCCACGTCCTCTTCTGAATCTGGCTTGGATTTCTGGCAGTTCACTGTCAATGTACTGCTGCAATCATTTTTCAATTATCTTCAGCAAAATTTTACTTGTGTGTGATATTAATGATATTGTTCATTAATTTCTGAATTCTGTTGGATCAAGATCATCTTTCTTTGGAATGAGCAGAAGTATGGATCTCTTCCAGTTGATTGGCCAGGTAGCTTTCAATTTTCTCGGCATACACAAGTGAGCATATAGGGAGGTCATTTTGATTCCAGAAAAAGCAGATAGCTCTAAGAAGGTAGGTACAATGGGGCTTATAAAGAGAAGAGAAGGAAGAAATATTGAAGATCAACCATTGGCTAATCTTAACATGATTGTTTGAACCCTGCCACCCCCTTTACAGATATCAACTGATATCAGGTCACTTCTGGCCTGGCTGCTAATAATCGGGCCCGCCACCTACCTGTAGCCATGGGACTTTTTGAGATTTAAGTTAGCAGGTACTGGTTTGTTGACTATCCTTTTTCAGCAGGATAAAACAAATTTACATTGCTGTAGAGCAGTTTCTGGTAGGCTTTTGCAGTTTGGGTCAGGCTTTTTATGGTTAATATTTGGTTTCTTGGATAAGAAAAACCAAACCCATTGCTGCTGAGTCCATTCTGACTCATAGTGACCGTATAGACAGAGTAGACCTGCCCCATAGGGTTTCCAAGGAGTGGCTGGTGGATTCGAACTGCTGACCTTTTGGTTAGCAGCCGAGCTCATAACCACCTAGCCACCAGGGCTGAGAAACCTTAAAATCAAAGTGAGATGTCTGTTATTAATTTTCCACCTCAACAGTAAGTTAACTTGAGTTAACTGGACTAGAGAGGTCCTAATTCCAGCTGAACAAGTCCACATAAAGGAGAAGGGACAGAGGGAGAAAGAGCAGCCTGTGAAGATGCATTCACATGCCAAGAACACCCGGGGCCCCCAGAAGCTGGGAGAGAGAAGGAAGGATCTTCCCTGGAGCCTTCAGAGAGAGCACCGTCCTGCCAGCACCATGAATTCAGACTCCCAGCCTCTGAACTGTGACAGAATAAATTACTGTTCTTGTAAGCCACTCAGCCTGTGGTATTTGATACGTTAGCCCTACAACACTAATACACCTTCCCTATAGGAGTCCTGGTGGTGCAGTGGTTAAGAGCTCGGCTGCTAAGCAAAAGGTCGGCAGTTCGAATCCGCCAGCCACTCCTTGGAAACCCTATGGGGCAGTTCTACTCTGTCCTATAGGGTTGCTATGAGTCGGAATCAACTGGATGGCTTTCGGTTGGCATATCAAGACCCCATGGTTTCCCTGCTCTGCCGTCACTACAGAATGTAAGTTCCAAAAAAGTAGGGGTATATGAGTGTGTATGTGTATGAGTGTGTCTGTGTGTGTGTGTGAGTGTCTCTCTGTATGAGAATGTCTGTGTGAATATGTGTGTAATTGTGTGTGTGCATTTGCCATTGCACTCCAGCACCTAGGACAATAACTGGCATCTAGTAGCTGCTCAGAGTCCCTGGGTGGTACAAACAATTAAGCGCTCAATTACTAACCCAAAGGTTGGCAGTTCGAACCCACCCAGAGGTGCCTTGGAAGAAAGGCCTGGCAATCTGCTTCAGCCTTTGAAGGAAAATCAGCCATTGAAAACCCAATGGAGCACAGTTCTACTCTGACACACATGAGGTCGTCATGAGTCAGAATAAACTCAGTAGTAACTGGGGGGAGAAAGCTGCTCAGTCCATGTTTGCTTGAAGAAGGCTGAAGTCATCTAGCTGTTTATCTCCCCACAGGGTGTGAGACCTCAGTGCCTGGGACCTTGTCTCGTTCATTCCTGTCTGCTTCATCATTGACCTCAGTCACAGCAGGTTCTCTAAAAATGCTGACCAACGAATGAGGAGGGAATGAATGAATGACACAGCATCGCCTTCCTAGAGGGAGTTGGAGGTAACACTTCCGTATGCAATGCCTCCCGGAAAAGTATCAGCCACGCCTGAGAGAAAATAGGATGAAAACAGGAGTCTTCAGGCTAATGAGTGGCCGAGGCAAAGGAGGCCCAAGGACAGCTTGCAGCTGATGACATAACCTCACTCACCATGCACTTCCCCCTCAGGAGGGTGGGCTGACAACAGACCCACTGACCCACTGCAGAGAGCTATTAAGGTCATTGATGAGATCACCAGGCAAAATGATTGGCGTATCGTAAGCGATCAATAAATCTAAAGGACCAAGCCATCAGGCACCCCTTTCTCCTCCTGAAGCCAGAAACTTGTAGTATCTTGTAAAGATAGTTGTTGGTGTTGGGTGCCATCGGGTCAACTCTGACTCACGGTGACCTTATGTATAACAGAAGGAAACGTTGCTCAGTCCGGCGCCGTCCTCACAATAGTAGGAATGTTTGAGCCCATTGTTGCAGCCACTGTGTCAATCCATCTCATTGAGGGTCTCCCTTTTTTTCGATGGCCCTCTGCTTTTCCAAGTATGATGTCCTTCTCCAGGGAGTGGTCGCTCCTGGTGATGTGTCCAAAGTAAGCAAGCTGAAGTCTCGCCATCCTCGCTTCTAAGGAGCATTCTGGCTGTACTTCTTCACAGATTTGTTTGTTCTTCTGGCAGTTGTAGATATATTCAATATTCTTCGCCAACACCACATCAAATCAATTCTTCTTCAATCTTATTCACTATCCACTTTTCGCAGGCATTTGAGGCGATTCAGAATACCACGCACACTTGAGTCCTCGAAGTGACGTCTTCGCTTTTTAAAATTTTGTTTGTAAAGCCAAGGTCCTCCCAAAGGGCGCCCGTGGCGGCCGCCTCGCCGGGCATGCTCAGTGGGGGCAGGGGAGGGAAGGGGTGGCTGAAGTCGGGGCTGCGGCCGAGGCTCCTCCCTCGGGCTCGCTGGCGGGCCGCTCTGGAAGAGGAGCAGACCGAACAAGGCGCTGCGTAGCCCGCCATGTCTCTGGCCCGCGGGCCTCGCGCACCGCAGCGCCGTTCTGACGGGTTGGGCCCGGCGGCGGCGGGCGGGTGGCCGGCGGC